ATTTTGCATCGGTCCCCCCGGCCAGCCGGATACCTTCCCGCATGCTTTCCAGCGTTCCCCATCTGAGCTGATTGTAACTCTTACAGTCCGGGACAGCCTTTCCCTTTTTATGGGTTTTCACACAATTCTGTCTGGAGTCTTCTGGTCTCTCGCTGGGTGGTCTCAGCCACCCCAAGACACTCGCCCCAATTTCTGCTCCGATACTTCCTGCAGGTACTAGCCCGGGCTGGCCTGAGCCCCACAGTCAAAAAGTAGGAGGAAGTGGATTAAGTAGACTCGCGTGTTTTTTACTTTTTACTTTTTGATACATATTTAATTGATGATGCAATTATAGTGGTCACATTTTTTTCCTTCCCTTTATTCCCCTCCACCTGGTATCCTCCTCCCACCAGAATGCCCCCTGCCTCGTGTCCATGGGTCCTGCGTGTAAGTTCTTTGGCTTCTCCATTGCCTGCACTATTCTTAACGTCCCTGTGTCTATTTTGTACCTACTATTTATGCTGTTTATTCCCTGTACCTTTTCCCCCTCCTCCCTCCTCCTCTTCCCCTCTGCTCTCCATGTCTGTGATTCTGCTCCTATTTTCATTGTTTCCTTAGTTTTTGTTTTGTTTTGTTTTTAGGTCCAGTTGTTGATAGTTGTGACTTTGCTGTCATTTTACTGTTCATAGTTTTTCATCTTTTTCTTACATAAGTACCTTTAACAGTTCATAAGTAAGGACTTGTGATGATGAATTCCTTTAACTTGACCTTATCTGTAAAGCACTTTATTTGCCCTTCCACTCTAAATGATAGCTTTGCTGGGTAGAGTAATAATCTTGGATGCAGGTCCTTGCCTTTCACGACTTTGAATACTCCTTCCCAGCCCCTTCTTGCCTGCAAGGTTTCTTTTGGGAAGTCAGCTGATAGTCTTATGGGAACTCCTTTGTAGGTCACTGTCTCCTTTTCTCTTGCTGCTTTTCAGATTCTCTCCTTATCTTTAATCTCGGGTAATGTAATTATGATGTGCCTTGGTGTGTGCTTCCTTGGATCCAACTTTTTGGGGGCTCTCTGAGCTTCCTGGATCTCCTGGAAGTCTATTTCTTTGGCCAGAATGGGGAAGCTCTCCTTCATTATTTGTTCAAATAAGTTTTCAGTTTCTTGGTTTTCCTCTTCTCCTTCTGGCAGCCCTATGATTTGGATGTTGGAACATTTAAAGTTGTGCCAGAGGTTCCTAAGCTTCTCCTCAAGTTATTGAACTCTTGTTTCTTCATTCTGTTCTCATTAATGTTCATTTCTCCCAATCGTTGATCTGAGTCCCGGTTTCCTTCCCTTTAGTGTTGGTTCCCTGTATATTTTTCTTTAGTTCCCTTTGCATAGCCTTCATTTTTTTCCCTCCATTTTGTGACCACACTCAACCATTTCTAGAAGCATCCAGATTACCAGTGTTTTGAACTGTGCATCTGATAGGTCGGCTAGCTCTTTATCTCTTAGTTCTGTTTCTGGAGCTTTGGTCTGTTCTTTCATTTGGGCCATATTTCTTTGTCTCAGCGTGCTTCTTACATTGGAAGGGGCGGAGCCAGGGTGGGGCAACACAGGTCACTGCGTTGTGACCCTGTGTGTGGGGGAGGGGTCCAAGAGGGAACAATGTGGCTTGCTTGGCTCTTGGCCGGCTTTCAGTCATTTCCCCCACTACCCACAAGCAAATTGGACCTTATTTCTAGGACCCTGTGGGTCTCTCCAACGAACTCTCCTGTGAGGCTGGGAGTTTCTCCCACTGCCACATTCTCCACAGGTTTCTACAGCCAGAGGCGTGGAGGCTTTCTTTTCCCACACCGGAGCCCTGGGTTGCGTGATCTGTCTTGCTCCCCTGTTGTTTCTCTTGGTCTTTCCGCATGCAAATGTGGGGTTGCCCGGTCTGCCAGCCACTGGGTCTCCCACCTGGTCCCCCAGCTGCCACCTTGCCACCCGTCCTTTCTGCCCCAGCTGCCTGTCTCCACCCCTCCAACTGATCTGGATGAATGTTTCTTTTTTAACTCCTTGGTTGTCCGACTTCCATACAGTTAGATTTTCTGGCAGTTCTGGTTATTTTTTGTTTTTAAATTTGTTGTCGTCCTTCTTTTGGTTGTGCGAGGAGGCAAAATGTATCTACCTATGCCTCCATCTTGGCCAGAAGTAGATTTATATGTTATATTGATTGATAATAAGAAGTCTGGAGGAAAACAAAGCAGGAAAGGAATGTAGAAAATATGGGATGAATTATATACTTCATGATGTTGCAAGTGGATGTTATTACTGAGAAGCTGATGTTTGAGTGTGCCTACATGTACGCACACCACAGGGACATGACAGATGCATGCACCATTCAGATATGTGCACACACACACACAGGTCACAGACACATTTATACACATATACACACAGATATTACAGACACACACATACACAGACACACCTCAAAACACACACATAGATATATTCCTCAGATACATACAGAGAGCCCATGACACACACATGCATGCACACAAGGACATGTGAACACATACATACTTCAAATACACACACAGACACAAACACCTGGCACAGAGACGGTAAACAGAGACACACAGAGACTCAGACACACACATACTTATATACAGACACATGCCACAAATACACAAAAGCTTGCAAAGAGCACACACACACATACACACATACACACAGATACACACGGCAGGCCTCAGCCCCCCTGGGTCCCCACACGGGCAGCTTTGCCCTCCGAAGACTCAGGCCTGGTCCTCAGGCCAGCTAGACCCAACACCCCCGCAGGAGGAAAAGGCCAGGGAGGCTCCGGATTCCAAATCCTTCTCTGCCCTATCAGTGACCTTGTCATTCTGAGAAGCCACCCTGTGCCATGTGATGTCACCAACCCCCCAGACCCTGCGCCTGAGGCCCAGCAGCCCCCGAGGCCTCATCACCCCCCTGCTGGCCTGGGCGGGAACTGCGGCTGTGTGCACACTCAGACCAGCCACTGGGGGACGGACGGGGAGGTGGGACCATCTCTCCACCTCTGGAAAGACTGAGACCTGGCGGCAGGGCAGGGGGGAAGAGAAGTGGACACACCTGAAAGGAGCGGACACAGCAGGACAGGGGTTCGATCAGGCCAGCAGGCCCAGGACCACCTGTGGGGTCACAGGCTGGAGACCCCCTCGGAGTCTCGGTCCTGTCCGCTCCGGCCATTCACACCGGGGAGCTCACCGTCCGCTGCCCAGAGCAACCGGGTTTCCTACAAGCCCCGGCCAGTCCCCCCACCAACAGGCCCAGGACCACCGGGCGGTGGCATGGCCTGGGGCCCCTCTGCCACTTCGGGTGTTGGGACACTCTCAGGGACAGGGACGAAGACTGCCACAGTCTCCCCTTTGACTCCGCGCCCCCGAGGGACTAGAAGCCCCGATGGGTCGTGTGTCCACTCATCCGTCCCTCACCATCTGTGTCACCCAGAGGACCTACGTCACTTTCCATGCCTCGCCGTTCCCCCACCGCCCCTCCTGAGTCCCGCACGCGAGGGACGGATCCTCCGTCTCACACAGAAGCCGTGCCTGGCCAGGCAGCGCCTGCTTTCCTGTGTGGGCAGCAGCGCCAGACGGACCAGCGAGGACAGGGACCAGGAGCGGTGGGTCGCGTCCTCCTCAGCGCGTGGGGCTGTCACGGGGACCCATCTGGAGTGTGGGAAGTGGAAGCGCTTCCTCTCCGAGGGCCGGGCAGCCGGGCCGCACGGAAGGCCCACTTCCTCCTCCGAGATCATCGCCTTTCTCACGTCCCCCCAGCTTCCGGTTGGGGCTTCCTCTCCACTCAGCGGCGCTGAGGCTGCAGACACTTAGCCCCGAGATGCTGCCGCTGCTGCTGCTGCCCCTGCTGATGGGCCGGTGAGTGGCCCCGGGGAGGGCGTGTGACCTGGGGCGGGGACAACGGCTGACGTGCCTTTCCCCGCAGGGGCCCTGGCCCAGGGTCCGGGATTCCAGCTGCAGGTGCAGGAGTCTGTGACGGTGCAGGCGGGCCAGTGCGTCTCCATGCCCTGCACTGTGTCCTACCTCAGAATTGGCTGGACTGACTCCACCCCAGCTCACGGCTACTGGTTCTGGGAAGGGGACGACACAAACAAGCAGAAGCCTGTGGCCACGAACCACCCCAGTGGGAAAGTGAAGGCGGAGACCAGGGACCGATTCCACCTCGTTGGGGATCCCCAGACCTATGACTGCTCCTTGCACATCAGAGACGCACAGATAAGCGACACAGGGAAATACTTCTTTAGGGTGGAGCGAGGGTCTTATGCGAGATGCTATTATAAAGACAACCAGGTCTTTGTCCATGTGACAGGTTTGGAATGGGGTCCACGTCAGGACACATGGCTGAGTTGTCCTGAGCTGGGAAGGAGCCCCTTCTTCTCATCTTGAGGTGGACTCAGGGCGACTAATGGAGATGGGACCCGGGGGCTGGCCGGGCACAGAGGCTGCAGTCAGGGGCACACGCAGGGACCCCACCTCCAGGGCCTGGGTCTCTGTCTCTCTCTTCCCCAGACCTGAAATCTGACATCCAGATTCAGGGGACCCTAGAATCCGGCCACCCCAGTAACATTACCTGTACAGTGTCATGGGCCTGTGAGACAGACCCACCACCCCAATTCTCCTGGACGGGGGCCAACGTCACACCCCTGGGTCCCCGGACTGCCAGCTCCTCAGTGGCCACCCTCACGCCAAGGCCCCGGGACCACGGCACCAACCTCACCTGTCGGGTGGCCTTGCAAGGCGGCCTGACCAGGGAGATAACCATCCAGCTCAATGTGTCCTGTGAGTGCCCGGTCAGGACGTGGGTCCCTGAGGCTGGAGGGCATTGGGGGCGTAGAGCCTGGGATACTGGGCCCTGCAAACCAGGGCTGCGGAGGAAGGAAGGGGACACCCAATTTCACCCGCTTCCTGTTTATGAAGTTTCGTGGTAGAAAGGGCCAATGTCTACCTTTCTGCCACCGAAAGAATAACTATGTCCAGATGCGCTTCGGAACCTGACCATATTCCGAGGAGACGGCACAGGTAGGGTGCAACCTCTCCTGCCCAGGGGGCGGTGGAAGGAGGGCCTGGTCCCTGCTCCCTTCAGAGCAGAGCTGGGGTTCAGAACTCAGATGGGAGACAGACTCACACCTTGTGGGCTGATAAACGGGCCCCTCAGGAGAAACTGCATGAGAGCCAGTATTGTATTAGTATCAAGTGCACAGCGTAGTGGCCAGACATATACGGAACTTACAAAGGGCTCCCCCTGAGAAGTCCAGCTCCCGCCTGGCCCCGTCTGTAGTTATTACAGTAGGATTGACTGTATTCCCTGTGCTGTACTTGACATCCCCGTGACACTTTATGTAACTGGCAATCTGCAATATTCCTTTTGGAATCTCCCTCAGTCTCTTCCAGTAGCCTCATGTTAACACCCCCACACGGCCCCGCCGTCGGGCCTCACAGGGCCACCCGCGCCCCTGCAGCGGCGCTCTGTGCCCTCCTCCCGCAACGTCCTCCATGCTAGTACCACCGCCCCTTCGCGTGCTCTCCTCCTCCAGGAAGCCCTCCCTGACCTGCCCGTCTCCTCGAAGTCCCGTCCTCAGGGCTCCCTCAACCCGGCTAACCCCCCTGCACTAAGCACGTCTTGCTGCTCTGTGAGAACCTGCTTTTGGGGGTGTCTCATCCAAGAGAGTGTGAGCTCTCGGGCAGCTGAATTAGACAGGTCTTAGGGAACTGTTGTGGACAGACACAAATGGCAAGGCTTGTACAGAAAAATCTAGGATCTGTGATGGCTCTGGAGGCCAAGGCAGGAGGCGTGGGGACCAGGGCGGTTCAGACAAATGCTCGGGAGCCTCTGGGAGAGGCTGTAGTGCCTGCTCCTAGCCCTCGGGGCTGATCCCAGATGGTACGAGCCCATCAGGTGATGGAAGAGAAGAAACTGATCGACATAATGCAAGGAGGGGAGAGAGAGTGAGAGAGACAGAGAGAGAAATAGGAACGAAAAGGGAGATACATAGATGAAGAGAGATTGAGAGAGCCAGGGACGTGAAGAGAGAGACAGAGCTACAGAAAGACAAGGACGAACAGACAGGGAAAGAGAGACAGAGGGAGACCTGATTACAGCCGGGCTGAACTCTCTCTCTGTCCTTCAGGATCTGAGGTTCTGCGCAACGGCTCGTCTCTCCGAGCCCAGGAGGGCCAGCCCCTGCTCCTGGTCTGTAGAGCTGACAGCCACCCGCCCAGCAGTACGAGGTGGACCCGGGGCAGCCTGACCCTGAGCTGCCTGGAGCCAGGGGTCCTGAAGCTGACCCAGGAGGAACTGGGGGGCAATGGGACGTCCGTCTGTTGAGCTCAGCAGCACGGGTCGGCCTCCCTGGAAGCCTCCCTGACCCTCCTGGTGAAGAGTGAGCGGGAACACACCTGGGCCAGGGCCCTTGGGTTTCGGGCTCCTCTGATCCCTCTCCTGTTTCCCCTCACAGACGCCCCCCAGCTGCTGGGACCCTCTTGCTCGCGGGAGGACCAGGGTCTGCGCTGCAGCTGCTCCTCCCGAGCCCAGCCGGCCCCCTCGCTGCGCTGGCGGCTGGGGGAGACGCTGCTGGAGGGGAACCACAGCGATGCCTCCCACGCGGTCACCACGCACCCCGCGGGGCCCTGGGCCAACAGCTCCCTGAGCCTCCGCGGGGAGCTGAGTTCCAACCTCAGGCGCAGCTGCGAGGCCCAGAATGCCCACGGGAGACAGGCCGTGACTGTCCTGCTGCTGCCAGGACAGGGTGAGGCGGGGGAGCCCCAGGGAAGGGGCGCACAGGCCGCGGACCTGGAAGACACTGAGTGGGACAGAAGTGGCCTGACTCAGGGCCAAGGGGACTGGAGGCCAGGCCCTGATGCGCTTGCCAGGGGAGGGGGCTGGGAGCCTGGAGGCTGCCATCATACGAAGGGGTGGGGACCAAGGGGTCCTGGACGGACGGGGGCAAGCTCGTCGGCAGGGATGGCAGGAGGCCGGATGCTCAGGTGTCTGCTAGGGAACAGGCGCTCACCCAGGTGTCTCGTCCCTGCAGGGAGACCAGCAGACAGGACAGGAGTGATTCTGGGGGCTCTCGGGGGGAGCTGGTGCCACAGCCCTGCTCGCTGTCTGCCTCGGCCTCATCCTGTGAGCAACGGAGAAATGAATAAGAGCCCCTGAATTCCCACGATCCCAAAGCCCGGCTCAGACGCCCTTCTCTCCTCCCACGCAGAGCCACCTGGATGCCCCCTCCGCCCCCGACCTGCCCCCGGCGGTGGCCGCCTCCGACTCAGAGCGTGAGCTCTATTACAATGCTCTCCATCTCCCCAACACGAAGCCACAGGACCCTCAGGCCCAGGAGACCACCCTGTACTCTGAGATCGCGATCCAGAAATGGTGACGCACCCCCGCCCACATGCACTTGTTGGAGCCCAGAAAAGGAATCTCTGAGAAGAAAGGTGTGTCAGGGACCGATTCTTAAACAGTGAACAGCCCTCTGAGCCAAAGGTCATGGATGGAGACATGAAGTTCCACGACGTTCCTTCGAGTGGCTGAAGCCACAGAGATTCCTGCGCTCCAATCCCGGCTCAGCTACTCACCGAGGGTGTTACACCAGGCAAGTCACTACCTCTATGTGCCTCAGTTTCCCCCTCTGTAACATGGGGGATGATTTGATTAGGTACGTTGTTAAGGGAGCAAACATGCCCCACTGGCATTAAGTACATTAATATGTAGTAAGTTCACCTCAGGACGGAGTGAGAGGTCAGTGTTGGCTCCATTTCTATCTTCTACTAGGTTGAGTATTTTCAAGAACATGTGTTGTTTTAAAATATGTCTATGTCTAAATGTAGCTCTTTGGCAGGAGAAGATATTTCCCAACACATGTATCTAAAAAGGAGTCATCCAGAGTATATAAAGACTATACGAAGATCTTCCAAAAGTCAGTAAGAAAAAGGCAAACAAACCAATAGAAACACGAGATGTTCAAAGGGCCAATGACCACCTAGGAGGGCAGCTGACAGGGAACAGCAAACAGAAACTGCTGCGCTCTGTGCCTGCCCAGCCACCGCACTGGCGAAAATACTAAAAGGAATACAACAAAGGTCAGGTGTTGAGAACACTGCACTAAGGGAGAAAAGCCAGTCACAGAAACACAGATGCTGCCTGATCCCAGTTACACATGGTATTGAAGTCATTCAACTCTTAGAAACAGAGAGTGCAGGGTCCTCTGGGGAGGGGAGCCTAGGAAGTTGCTACGGAGATTAAGTTTTGCAAGATGAAGCCCTTCTGGAGAATGATCGGCAACCACATGGGTAGAATCAACATGACAACAGTATACACTTAAAAATAATTAAGGATTTTATGTCTTTTAACCACAATAAAGAAAAGTAACATGGAGTGGTTACCACGGGCTTGAGGCTGGGGGAGTGGGGAGGCTGTTAGTGTTTGAAGGGGACAGAATTTCAGTGCCGGAGGATGAAGACGCTCTAGAGATGGACGGCGGTGATGGCTGCACAGAGTGAGTGTATTCACTAACTGTACACGTAAAAATGTTTAAAAGAGTACATTTTATGTTGTGCATGCTTTATACCAATAAAAAAATTTTAAAGACAACAAAGTGTTGCTTAGGATGGGGAGCCACTGGAACCCTGGGACCCTGCTGGAGGGAAGGGGGAGCTGGCACAGCCACTTGGGAAACACTGCGCATTCGAGCCAGCCATTGCCCTCCGGGGGGCGAACCCGACAGAACTGCCTGCAAACGCCCATGAGCCGCACACCAGGGTGTCCCCGCAGCGCTCCCTGGGATGGCTGAGCAGTGGGACCTCCCCCAAGTCCCATCGGCAGGTCCACACATTGCAGGTTATCTGTGCAGTGGCAGAAGCAAAGAACAGCTCCGCACAATGGGCGTGAACCCTACAAACACGTTGAGGACGAAGGCCAGGCCCAAAGAGCCCGTGCCACGGGACACCGCTGACAGGAGGTTCAGAAACAGACAGCACTGATCTTTGGTGTCGGGAATCTGGAGACTGGTTATTCCCCGGGGAAGTGACCGGGAGAGGGTAGTGGGGACCTTCTGGGGTCCGGCTAAGGATCTGTTTCATGGGGTAGGCATTCCTTGCTCATGTGTACTCTCTCTATGAAACATTTTACATATTTTTATCCTCACCTGGGTATCAGTAGGGAGGGTCCCAGGCGCGGATCTGAGGGAAACCGCAGGCCTTGGCACCACTTCTCCATCTGAGCCCTTACGTGCTGTACCCCCAAACCCCTCCCAGAATGGGGCCCATCCCCGCCGTGTCCCCGGGTCCCCGTGAACTTCCCTGTCGCCTCTCCTGGAGCCCGTTCCTTACATGTCACACACAGAGAGGGCCAATTCCTTTTGTAATTATGTTTCATATGGGACCCTTTCTCCACCCTATGGAAGTATCCCCTTGTGTCTCTTCTCTGTGCATCTCTGATGACCAGGGAGCGGTTGCAGGGACTGGGGCCCCTGGAAGTGGGATCGGCCCTGGGCCTCCTCCTGTGCTTTACAGTCTCTGTTATTTGTGGCCGTGGGAGGGTCCTGGAATTCATCGGCCCCTTCCTGGAACCAGTAGCTGTAAGCAGGGGTGTCATGATCCAGCTGATCTGTGGTAGTAAAAGGAGCAGGGCACAGAGACTCCTGCCCCGTCACGGACGGCTGTATTCTCAAGCTGTGCCGTTCCTCCTGAGCCAGGGTCCCTGCAGGGAAAGGAGGTCAGCGGCTGCCCGCCCCCCACCCACACCCCTCCCCTGGGGCACTCACCCGCCCACAGCAGGGGCGGCAGCAGCGGCAGCATCTCCGACAAGGACGGTGTCTGGGCTCCTGTGGCTGAAAGGAGAAGAGAGGCGGCGATGTGGGGGCCCAGGAAGCGCGTCTGACAGAACCGCAGGAGGTACATGGGGCCTCCCCGTCCACAGAAGAGAAACCTCAGAGCTGGAGCTCGTCCCCTCTGCACAGAGTGGGCGGCCTCCCCGCGGCCCAGAGACACCGGGGTCCTGGCCTCCAGGTGTGGACCGGGAGGCCCCATCGGACCGAGGAGGGGGCAGCCGGGACCTCTGCAGATCCGGGGCTGACGGGCAATGGGCCGGTCCGAGTCCTCCGGGCCGGGCCGGGGAGCTGGCGGGCCCTGCGTTGGCCCTGGGGAGCGGGAGCGGTCGCGTCCCAGCCCGAGAGGCGCAGTGTCGTCGACGCATGTGGTTCTGCACCAGAGGCATCAGCCCTGCCCACTCAGGGGACATTTGTTCCTGCCTGGGCACCGTTGATTGTCACAGCTCGGGAGGAGGGCGTGACTGGACGTGCGTGGACAGGATCCAGAGGCGTTTCTACACACCTGGCACCGCGCAGGACGGCCTCTGGCAGCCAGGCCACGGGCCAGCAGTGCGAGGTCGAGAAGCCCCGGTCGCGTCCCCGGGGGCAGGCGGGCCCGGGCTGTGGCTGTGCGGTGACAGCCCCGCCGAAGGGTAGGAGGCAGCCATGGCCGGGCTCACGCAGCCATTTACGCGTTCCCTCCCTCCCTCCCTCCCTCCCGCCCTTGTTCACAGCCACAGAGGGAGCCTGCGCCCCGTGTGGGGCCGGAGGCCGCGGAGACCCAGCGGCCGGGGAGACCCAGCACACCGTCCACACCCTGAGATGGGCCCCACTTGGGGGAGGGACGGACGACCTCTGGGACCTGCCTGGTAGATGCTGTGGCAGTGAAACACAGCTGGGCGGGGACCGGCTGGTAGCCCCTGGGCCCCGAGAGCACACTGGACGTGGGGACTCCCAGGGGACAAGAAGGAGGACTCCCAGCTCTGGGCCGTCAACAGCGCGGAGGTGCCATCCAGACGGGGCGCAGCGCTCTGCCCCCTCCCTGCTCAGGGGCCCCCTGCGGGGGGACCCGCCGCCCTCAGTGGCCTCCAGGCCTGTCCTCGTTTCTCACGTCCCTGTCTCCTGCTTGTCCCCGCTGTCGGAGGCCACCCTGCCCCCCCCCAGGGCCGTAGCTTCGGACAGCAGGACACCTGTCTGTCCTCCTTGCCTTCACTCGCTGACCGCCCTGCGGGGAGGCGGGCATGTCTGTTACCGCGTGCGGGGCGGGGACAGACACACGGGCGCTGACCCCTGGCTGGACGATGGGGGCAGAGTGCAGGGAGCTCCCGAACCTTCCCCTTCTGCCCTGTGGAGGGTCAGCGGGGGCTGCAGGAGGGTGGTTTCAGCGGCTCCCGCCCCAGCCCTGGCCTTGCCCACACCCCTCCTTCCCGGTCTCTGGTCCCCAGAACCCCTGGACACCAGCCACATGCTGAACGGGCCCCGGGCCCTTCATCAAGGCGCCCTCCCCCCAGGCCTGGGGTCCCCGGGACCAGCCCCGCACACCCTGTCCCGGCAGCAGCAGGGCCGCTGTGGTCCGGGTTCCTGGCGTCCCTGGGGCTGAACCTGGGGGGAAGGGGGCGCTGCCGTCCTCGCCCCAGCTGAGCTGAGGCCTCCCTGGCCTGGACCAGCTCCCCCCTTCCCCGGTCTCTCTCACCTTCCGCAGGAGCAGCCCGCACACCGCCTGCCCCTACGCCCCTCGGCACCGGGACGCAGGGACTCCCGGGCACCAGCCAGTGCCAGGCTCGGAAGGTGAGCTCCCCTCTTTTGGCCGCCCCCACCCAGGGCAGCTGCACACCTGGTCCCCTGAGGCCTGGTCAGGGCCCAGGACGTGGCCCTGGGACGTTTTGATCACCTCCTCTTCACCCCATTGGGAAGGAGGATTCCTCCCAGGGGACCACGTGAGAGCGGAGCTCGTGGCAGTTCTAATGGAGCCAGTTAGATTGACAGCAGCATGTGAATCCCCGACAGTCGCTGCTGGGGTCAGGGACCCTTGCAACCCCTCATTGCTGCCCTCAGCAGCAGCGGGAATGAGTCCGGCTCTGGGGGGAGGGTCTGCAGTGAGCGGGTCTCCGGTGCCCGCGGGAGGCCTGGACGCGCCTGCTTGTGTGGTTCTGCAAACCAACAGGGAACTCAGCTCAGGGCTGCGTAACCACCCACCCGAGACTGGGCGGCTCCAGCAACAGATGCCTTTCTCATGGTTTTAACGGCTGGGAAGTCCACGTTTGCGGTGTCGGCAGATCTGCTTCCTGGTGCGAGCCCGCCTCCAAGGCCTGCTGGTGCCTGTCTTCTCTTTGTCCTCCCCTGGCCTTTTCTTTCTCTCTTGTTTTTGCTTTTGCATGTGGGGAGAGAAAGGGGAGATTGCTTTCTCTTTCTTTTCTTATAAGGCCATCAACCTTAGGGGGTCACCCTATGGACTCTTGTGATCTCAATTATTCTGAAATAACAACCATGTCAGGAGATAAAACTTCAAGATATGAATTTGGGGGAATCTAATACGGTCCATAGCATTCAGGCTCCATGGGGTCTCTGCA